GAGGGACCCTTAATAGGGACCCTTAATAGGGACCCTTGTAGGTTATTGGGGTTAATATGGAGACTACCTGGCTATATAAGGGGTATATACGGAATATACAATGGTTATTTAAGGTAATGGGATTAAGGTTCCCTATTAGGGGTCCATCCTCAGGTGCTTAGAGATATATTACGCTCTTGGTTTGCACCTTCTATTTGTTCACTTAGGCCCTGAGGGGCAATAATACACTACGTACTGCCTTAACGAGCCCCTAACGCACCTAAAAAAAAAGTAAATCCTAAACCCTCAACTTTTAATCTCTAAGCCCTAAACCCATCGAACAGACCCTCAGAACGAAAGCGCCGCCTCCATAACGAAGCCGTTGGCTGGTGAGTCGATCACTGCATCGGGTTTGGACCGGGGTCCTGACGCTACACGAGATTTAGGGCTGAGGGTTTAAACCCTAAACCCTAAACCCCTAAACCCTAAACCCTAAACCCCGAAGGATGTTTAAACCCTTAACCCTAAACCCTAAACCCCTATAGACCCGAAACCCTAGAGGGTTTAGGGTGCAGGGGTTTAGGGTTTAGGGTTCACTTGGGTGCTTTCCGGGCGTTTCGACAGATCTATACGGCTTCGAGACTAGAGGGTTTCGGGCTCCAGGTTAGCTTCGCTTTGGAGTTTTAGGGCTTGCGAGCTTTTGCGGCGTCCGTAATTTAATTTAGGAGACACTAACGGCAAAAATAGTGACAACAAGAGTTATTGTTGTGATGCTGTCTGTCACAGCGAACCGAACACAAACCCGAAAGTTCGAACACAAACACTAAGCCCCGCAAGCATCCACCAAACTATAGATCCTTGTGGGTCACGTTGGATCCCTGAAAAGGATCCTTCAATAATTTGCATATAAACAACCCTTAAGAACCCCAAATTAAAGGAAACTACAGGTGGGGAGTTTAGGGTATATAGGGCTGCTACAAGGCTTCCATGAGGTATATAGACTTCCTATACGGCTGATATAACGGTAACTACCCACCTGAAAATTTCCTAGACCAAAACGAATCCTGAAAGGAACAACATAAGGAACCCTCGCACCCCCGCCTTAGCAGACCCCAAAACCCTACGTCAATCTGCCAAAAACTGTTTTTTTTGTGGAGTCTTTTTGAATTCCATATTAAAGTGTATTGTGAGAACCTGCAAGAAAATAGGTTTTGGTAGTTTGAGGTCCTCCCCAAACCCTAAACCCTTGACAATAGAAAGGGTCCTCCTCGCCAGCCGCCCATCCAGCTTGGTGCGCGATGAGGATCGTAGCCTCACGAATGCGGTGTGTGTGTAGGGTTTCCTTAGCCCCAAGTACCCTACCTGTTACAGGAGTTAGATAAGGAAATCATAATAAGGAACTTTAGAGAGGTAGGTTCTTTAGGGTCCAGGTAAAGTTCAACTTCACGGTATACGGTTTAGGGTTTAGGGACCATGGTGAGCAAATCAGCTCCTGCAAAGGCTTTCTACTAGGGTTTCGGACGAGGGTCCGTAAGAATGGGATGTTGTATGGCTTCGTTGAGGGCTGTCCATATATCCAACTTAGGGCTTAGTGTTTTTGGTAGTTTTGAGTGAGGTCTTGATAAGACTTCTACGGCGTAGGGGCTTTAGTCTAGGTGCCGCCATCGTAAGTGTAGCATTTAAGCCCTTTTCGATGGACTCAGGGTACCCAAACCCTAAACCCGAAACCCTAAACCCTAGACCCTAAACTCGAAAACCCTACAATTTGAAGAGCAAAGCCTGAAGCCAAAACCCTGAACAACCGTGAACCCTACCCACAGCGGTCATGAGGAGTTGCGCTGGTTCGTCTGGAGCTGGAGCTGGAAACAGATTGGCTATCAAAGTTGTACCAAATGAGCTATGCTAGTAAAAGGCCTCAGGTTTAGAGGTTAGGGTTTAATTTTCTTTTAGAGTTTAGGGTTTGGAGGTTTTGGGTTTTGGGTTTTGGGTTTAGGCTTAGGGTGTTGGGTTTCGAACTTTGGGATCTGGGGCTCCCTTCAGGTTGAAGTTCAGGGTTTAGGGTTCGGGGTTTAGGGTTTAGGGTTGAAGGGCTTGTTGGGGGTTTCGGATCTTAGGGCTGGGGTTTCGACAGGTTTTGTGGGGCTTTGAGGTTTGGAGGTTTAGGGTTTAGGCTTACTGGGCCTGGATGTGAATCAGAGGTTTGAATTAGGCTTCCCACTTTTAGCACACTGTAACACTCCCCGCGAAAACCTCCCCTCAAGCCTACACCCTAAACCCTAAACCTAAACCCTAAACCCTAAACCCTAAACCCTAAACCCTAAACCCTAAACCCTACATGGATTGGGTGTGGAGGTCGATGGTCTGGCTGTGGGATTTTGGAGCTTAAGTTTCGGGTTTGGGGTGGGGGTTTGTGGTTTAGGGGTCTAGGGTTTAGGGCTTACGGCATGCGACCTGCACGCAAACTCCCTTGCGCAAATCCAATACACTCCCACATCGTCATGCAGAAAGCCGTGAACCAGGGTCTTGCATCCCTCAAAGTAACCCTACACACCCGTTAAGTTCCTTGCAGAACCGGTATTTGAACCCCACCCTTTCGAAACCCTTGCAGCAGCCCGTTACAGCAGCCCTTGCACGAGGAAAACTTTAAAAAACCCTTGAAGGAACTCTGTACAGGAACCCTTGAAGGAACCCTTTGAAACAACCCTGTAAGGAACCCTAAACCCTAAACCCTAAACCTTAAACCCTAAACCCTTCAAGGGAACCATTCCGGGATGCTGAAGGACTCTGTGGCATCTGCCGAGGTCGCGGCGCTTGAGGTTTGGCCTGGTCCAGGTGAGGGCTTAGGGCTTTGGGGTTTACGGGTTTAGGGGTTTAGGGTAGGGTTTAGGGTTTAGGGTTTAGGGTTTCGGGGTTTAGGGTTTAGGGTTTCGGGGTTTAGGGTTTAGGGTTTAGGGGTTTAGGGTTTAGGGGTTTTGGACTTCGGTTTTGGGGCTTATATAAGGCTCAGGGTGGCGTTGTTTGGCTTTGGTTTGTGGGCTGACTTAGACAGTAAGTACAAAGTAGAGTTATAAGTTCCCAAATGCTACTTATCCAAATGGCTTTTGTTTGCTATCCTCCGCAGAAACACTGTCCCTGAACCCTTACACTCTAAACTCTGCAAAGACCTTTCCGTGCCTGACGAGTTCAACACTTGCCGGGTTTTCGAGACCGGCAAAATCAACCTAATTGAGGAACAACGTAAACCACAATGAGACACACTCTATGATCTCAGGTATAGTTTAGTACCCCTGAACCCTACAACCCTGAACCCTAAACCTTAAACCTAAACCCTCAAACCTTCCGGAAACCCTGAACCCTAAACGCCTCGACCCGAACCCCAGTTCACTGGTGTTGAGCTTCCCCGGCGACTGCCTCAGCTTCGCGCGCATCTCCTTCAGCTGCTCCATGCCTAAAAAAAGGCTGTTGGGAGGGAGTTGGAAAGGGGGAGGGGTAGAGGGCTTAGGGTTCGGCTTGCTCCCAAGCTGTAATTACTGTTTGTTTCTATTCCGCTTTCTTCTGGGCTTGATGTATGTATTCAAAGGTTTCTCATAGGATTTCGGGTTTAACCCTAAACCCTAAACCCTCAAGCGTACGTTGAGAGGTTTGAAATGAAGGTCTGCAGTCACAGAGAGACAGTTTAACGACACCAAACTCAAGATATGTTGAGATGGTACACTCCTAATGTATTTTTCAATATCTAACTGTAATTAAATATCACGGTATATGATGGTATATATAGAACCGGGGCCCACTGCATCAACAGGGGGCTGCGTAGATGCTGTTACGGTGAGCCCATGGAAGCTCCTTTCAAACCTCGAAAGCAAAATCCCGTGAGGGGAGAGTTTAGGGTTTAGGGTTTTAGGGTTTAGGGGTTTGGGGTTTATATAGGGGTTTAGGGTTTAGGGTTTAGCGTGTAGGGAGGTTCGGATTTGCAAGGGCACCTAAACCCTACCTGTAGCCGACAAAACCTCTCTTTTTGGTTCTTATATCTAGTTCCTTAAAAATGTAGGTCTATTTGACCACAGGTAAACCTTAAGACCCTAAAACCCTAATCCCTAAATCAGGGTCCTTAGGTTTGGACATTACGGGCTCTAAACCCTAAACCCTAAACCCTAAATTCCTAAACCCTAAACCCCAAACCCTAAACCCTAAACCCTGACCCTAAACCCTAAACCCTAAACCTCTCTTTCATATAGTAATTTAAACCTTAAACACTTCGTGGCCCAAGGTCAATTCTTCGTGGCCCAAAGTCAATTCTTCGTGGCGCAAGGTCAATTCTTCGTGGCCCAAAGTCAAAACTTCGTGCCCAAGGTCAAAACTTCGTGGCCCAAGGTCTGACCCAAGGCCAAAACTTTGTGGCCCAAGGCCAAACCTTCGTGGCTGAAGGCCAAAACTTCGTGGCCCAAGGCCACGAAATTTTCCCAACGTCAAAACCAGCTCCCAGCTCCCAGCTGCTCCCAGCTCCCAGCTCCTCCCAGCTCCCAGCTCCCAGCTCCCAGCTCCCAGCCCAGCCCGGCCCAGCCCAGCCAGCCCAGCCCAGCCCAGCCCAGCCCATAGGGTTGGGTAGAATCGGTGGGGTTGGGGAGGAGTTGGGCATGCGTTGTGGGACAGCACGCTGGCCCAG